CTGCCCCGTTGTTCGCTGTCCCCTTTTCTCTCAGCCTTGCCTCCGTCTTTCCTTCTCCCTCTATTCGCCGGCTGATACACACGACGCCGCGCCATGTACGCATACCGATAAAACAAACGCGCAGTGTCTCGCGCACGTGACGAATGCGTAATTTCGCCACGGACGAATGATTGTCCGTACGTTTTTAGTAGCACAAAAAGGACTGCACGATTAGACGCTCGCCCCCTGCCGTACCGCGACCATGCACCGCCGCCGTGTAAAGCATTCATTGAGTGGAAGTGCAGCGTCGATGGCGTGATTCACGCATCTGGAATTCGGTGGCGCTTCGAGAAAATTAATTAAATCCCACTGATTAATCGCTCGATGTCTCTTTATCGTCTTCTTTCTACTTCGCCCTCCGCTTGGTCTATTTCTTCGTCGACCGCCGATCCACGATACGTTCGTTCGTGACTCTCACTAGGTTACTATAGACGATACAGAAGAGACCGCCGAATGTTTATACTATTGATCGTGTTGTGCGAACAACACGATTAATATGGCCGGCAGGTAGTAACGGTTGTACCGAGAGCCCGAAGGATAAGCGGCCGACGAGTCGTTTATGCGCGTCCGCTTAAAAACGCTAGATAGAATCGTACATCATGGAGCGTACGACGGGAAAGAGGCGGTAAAATTAAGAAATTTTCGTTCCGGCACACAGCGACGATCGAGCAATTATTTTAAAAGGTCAAGAGGTTTCAGCTGGATAAATTATGCCCGTCGTCCTTTCCCACCCGCGTCGGCGGTCAATAGCCACGAAATAAACGTTTCGATTCAGTTAACGCATGAACGCCACTAACGTACGGCCCCGTCGCGACGACGACGGATCGGCTTCGCGATCGTACGCGTGAAATCGACGAAAACGCAGAAAGAAGCGTACGTTTACCGCCTGATCGGTGTAACGATACGAAATAATAACGAAATAATACCAAGTAAACGTATACAGGGTGGTTGGTAACTGGTGATACAAGCGAAAAGGGGGCGATTCTAGGCGAAAAAAGAAGTCGAAAATATAGAATAAACGTTCTTCGTTCGAGGCTTTGTTCTCGAGAAAATCGACTTTGAATTGCTTTATCGCGTCTCGTTATAATATCTCGATGGAAAAATTAAAAAAAAACATTTCACCCCTTTCCGCTCGCACCGCCAGTTACCAACCGCCCTGTAGATAAAGACGAACGCGTCTCGAGTTCGTTACGTAACGCACGCACACAAAGCTACGATCGATACCTGGAGAGTCAAAAATAATGAAAAGCGTGTTAAAACGCGCGTATTACCACTGCGTTGTTCGTGTGTTCGGCCTGCGGTAAACTTCACGACAGTTGGCTATACCACGTGTCCCGGTTCGCTCGAGACAAAGTGTATCGATGTCACTGGCAATTAGCCGCTGCTCGATATTCATAACTTTTTTACGCTCGTACCTCTGGGATTGGTAGAACCTGACCGGAATGGAGAAGGCAAGGAGCAACGGATACAAAAGCATTTTACGGTCAGATCGCAGAGAGAGCTTAGGCTGGCAGGTGGTGTTTGTAATGGCCGGCCATCGGCAGACCAGGCGGCAGCGCTACGGGCAGGTTTGCCGTGGTAAAAACTGTTGCGTGAGTTACGAACGTCCGAGTCTATTTGCGGTATCGACGGGTCCCGATTACATCGTCGCGTATTAATTGAATACGCGCCGCAACGACGACGGCACAGATGGCGCCGAAACGCTGCAAGAAATCGGGACACCGGAGAGAGAAACGGCGAAGAAACCGATCGAATATTCTTTCCAGTACGCACGATCGCGCCACATTGCCACGCCATACGCCTCCTCTCCTCTCCTCTCCTCTCCTCTCCTCTCTTCCGCGCGATCCGTTCGTTGATAGAAACGGTACGATACAGTCGCGATGCGGCGCGATCATCGATTTCAACGAGTTCCACGTACGCCGAAGCACCGTGTCGAATCCCTAAGTAACGCAACGATGGAAGATCGATGGGAAGAAGAAACGTTTAGCCAACTCGATGTATGTAAATTGTTCGCTTTATCCACGAATCCACCATTTCTCTATCCTTGTCTAATAAATAACGCGCAATTGCGTTTTTGTAGTCCGTGTGAAAGCATTCGAGCGATTCGCGCGACGCTTTACGAGAACTTTGTAGGATGCCGATGCGTCTTTCCCCTCTTCGGACGTTCGTTTCTACATGGTCGTTTTATTTTTGTCGTTGGAACGGCGAAACGCTGGGGATATGTACGAGGTACGTCTTCATCCGCAACAGCAAAGGCAAGCGTATTCCGTAAAAACGTGAGCAGGAACACTTTTCGATTCAATTATTTTGCCTTGTATCCTTCTTTCCTCGCGGGCACACAGGTATACGTATCCTTTGTCTGGCGGTGTAGTCGTTCCGATCGTCGAGCACCTAAACACGTTCTTCGTGCCTACGAAGCGCGGCCGATCCAAAGTATGCATTATCTCAGCCTGCAGCAGTGAAATGGCAGTCTGCTATATAGACGAGCAAGAAGCCGAACCAATCAAAAGCGCGGCGTTTCTCTTGTCAGCAGCCTTGAAATCTCCAGCCGGCGATCCAACGAATTTCCCTTTTCCATCCTGTCCTTCTGTTTAGCGTTCCACCCACCGGAACGTTTCCTGCTTTTTCTCGTTTAACATTCTGCGCAATGAAATACGTCTGGTCGACGTGGTTTACAGGCGTTTTCTTTCGTTACCAAAACACACGAGTCCATTAGTCTAACCGGTAGCGTGATACAGTGATCGATAGAGATCGAACCGAGGCAAGAACGTAACTACTCGGTAGGCTGTCTTCTTCCGTTCTTCGCGGCAACAACAATCTCAGAAACACGGGGTAATTGATGAATAGCCATTGACAACAAACGGCACGCTGCGAGAGAGGATTAATCCCGGGCTACGACGGCGATAACTCCTCCCGCGTGAAATTTGCAAAACAGTCGGATAGCGTATGAGCTGTTGCCGGTGTGTAAAAGCGAGCCAGCGCACACGAGTTCGTACATGCGAACAGCTCGTCCATCAAATTGAGAACCCTGGTAGGCAGCCGCTATACGCTGCCGGCTGAACGTGCGATCAGCACCTATGCTTTGCGCGCGCGTTACGCGCCACTCACGTTCCTTCGCTTCTTTTCTTCCACACACACACACACACACACATAGCTCGTAGGCACCGATAAACCATTGCTATTGTTTACCATCGAGTCCTGTGTCGTTTACCGTCCTGGAACCACGGCGATGTCTCGCGGCCTCTCGATAAAGACGCAACCAGAGGCCGTCGTCGTCTTCCAAGCCGTCGTTCGTTGCCTCGCCTGTGCACACCTCCTCCTCTACCGCAACACATGTACGAGTGTCCTTCTCTCGATCCTCGAACGAGATACCGCTGTAGCGTTCATACGCTAATATCACTCTGTTTATCTTATAATCGTGCTCGCGTACATTTCCCGTCCCTGTCGCGATGCAAACATACTGCCGAGTTCTACCTTTGTTTCCATGTTTATAGCGTGTTCGATCATTTGTTTTATTTTATGGGAAATAAACTTTACTTTCGTGGCGCTAGCATCGTCTTCGTCGACGGTATCCCAAAGTGGAAGGGATAGGTCGGAAGAAACTTCACGCTATTCTTTTCTAGCCGAGGAGAAATAGAGATAATCGACGCAATAATATTCTTACGTGTTACGGTAAGCGATCGAAATAATCTTCGGCGGTAACTGGCGGTAGATCGTATCGAAACCGAAACGCGATTATTCCGCGCGTGTAAAGTTCCGGTGAACGTTGACCAGCGCGTTGCCAATTGCGCGAAATAATATTACGGACTTTTATAAGCGGCAAACCACGTTGTCGGTAAGAGAAAAACGTGGGACAGGATGTAAGTGATTCGAGCGATCAGAAATTACGCTTTCATGCGGTGAATCTGCAACACCCGTGATTAATACTCTTGAAAATTTTCACGTTATAACGCAGCAAAATATAAAAGTTGATCGACGATACTCGGGTTCGCGGTGAAATTATGCGGTGGGGCATATGCAAATTGCGAATATCCCGATACATTTTGATCGATGTTTACAATTACTTTTAATGACACGCTTCTACGGCATTTTGTCTCGCTATGGCCGACTATGGCCTTTTTTCGCAACAATGAGCGCGCTGGCGCACGGCATCTTAACGAATGCGAATTAAAAATCAATCAACGAAATGTTACGTACAGAGAATATCGAACAACAGCTTGTAATCTCGCGCGATTTAAAACTATCTTCACGAACGTCTTTGCTCTATCTTTATTTTCTCCCCAGTAAAACACCAACGATTTAAATTTTTCTACTCTCAGTATAAAGAGGGAATTTACAAGAAAAAGGTTACTACCCTCGTTCGTGACGAGATGCAGGCACACACGTTACACGTTCGATGACGCAAAAAACTTTGACTTTTTTCCGGCTAACTACAACCTTCGCATTTAACTCTCGTTGAATATATAAAACAGACTACACAGCTTTCTTCCTCCGATCACGAATTCGCGAAAAATATACTCTTTTCACGTGTCTAACGTATGTACGTGGCTTCAGGAAGTCTGGATAAAGTTTTCTCGTGGACACAGATCGTAACAATTCGACGCGAATAAACGAACGTTAGAAAATTTAAACGACAAATGTTATAATTATTACGTAATACTTGCAGCGAAAGAAAGAACACTCGCAAGAGAGAGAAATTGTTCGCTATTCTTGGGCCGTATCATTCGCAACAGTCGCGTTTGAGGAATTCAACGGGCGAAGAGCAGGATGGAATCCCGATCAAACGTGAAGAGCCACGTAATTTTCAGAGACCCGAATGTTTTTTGAGCGAACAGTACGCAGAAGCGGCGGGCGTGGAGAAGGGAAAAGGGCGTAGTAAGTCATACGGAGAGGCTCGTACGTCATCCTCCATCCGGGCCAACGGAGCAACACATGGAAAGGGGCTGCGGAGCCTCCATACACGACGAACGCACCTACTTGGCTTGCCTCTTTAGGTCGAGGTTCGCTGGTGTTCGCGTACCACCACACACGTTCGCGACACGCACTCACACGTTGGTCACTCGTGTGCCTCGATATGTAGGAGAGGCTGAACCACTTGGTCACGGGCGTGCAGCACGCACGCCTATATTCGACGCAAAGTCCACGATCCGATCTTTTCAATTTTCCAATTGTAAATTAGCGCCTTAAATGGTTGGTAAAAAAAGGCGTCGTAGAAGCGTGAGTGTACGGGAACGAAACGACCGGAAACATCGACCACTCATCAAGAGGGAAGTTCTCTCAGCCATGTTTGTCAGCCATTGAGGTATACAATTTTGAAAGATACGAAACAACTACGCGTATGTTTATGCCCGTATGATTATTAATTATTAAACGTTTTTCAGGCTTCTATCGAGGATAAACGTTAGAAATAAACGACCAACGAGGGAAAATTATAGTGGAAAAATAAGGGAAGAAAGTGAGTCGATTATTGTTATTTACGAGACGATTCGGCAGCAAACGATAATTAGCCGGTCGCGTGAAACGAATCCGTAAAAATCTCTCGCCCATAAATGATTTGTACAATGAACTTGCCCGTGTTTCTGTTCCAGCAAAACATTCCTACCACACACGAAGACGCGGAACGATCTTGGTCGATACACACAAAGATATGTGCTCTGTATTACCGACGAGCCTCGCAGCGACGATAGCGGTAAGCGCGGAGGCACATAAGAGGGAGGGGTAAACGAGCCGAGCCACGATTTCGTCGTCGTAAACGTCAACGTTACGGTTACAGCGTTGTTCCTAGCTGGTTTATATTGAACGAGGTTGCTCCCCGAGGTACGTAACACCTACTGGCAACCGTCGTATCGTCGAGTAGCACCATACTCGTTTCCAACCCGACAGAGAGAGAGAGAGAGAGAAAGGGAGAGAGAGAGAGACAGAGAGAGTGAGAAAGAAAGAGGAAGAGAGAAGCGGGTGAGACCACGTGGCTTTTACGCGGGAATCCCACTGCTTCGGCACAAGAGTTCAAGGTTTGTTAGCTCTCTATCCGTTCGTACACGGTGCCGAGACTAGGCGAACCGCCCAATAAAGACCGCCATAACCACCACGCGATATCGATGCGCGTAAATCAAAAAAAGAACACGGATATACAGTACCGGTTCGTTGGACTTCTAACACGTATTTTGCATTTTTTAATCAATTTCGGAGGGTCAGCCTTACGAGGGAGCAGGGTTGAATTATCAAACGATTTGATCTTCACGGTACGTTTCTCCCAAGAACGTTGATATTTCTTTTTCTTATATATATTTTTTTACCGTTCAGTCCATAATGAGAAACACCTATGGTTTATTTATGAAATTAGCATTATGCTTAATATTCATAAAATCGAAGTTGTGAGAAACGTGAGAAGCAGAGAGAGCCTGAACAAGCCTGACGAAAACAATTGAATAATCGAGTCCGTGCTTTTTTCTTTTTATTACGTCGATGGATTATCGATCTTTCCGAAGCATCGTGAGGACGGAATAACAGCTGGAATTAACGTTGGCAGGAAGAACGCCGTCGGCAGACGAGGCAGTTTTACAGAAAATAAATGAACCGTGGGGATGTACAGAGATAGTATTCGAAGCTCCGTCTTCACGCCCTCTAATTACCTCGTAGACGCGGGCCAGACCCTTCAATGAGCGGCCATAAATTTTCCTTGCATTTGGAAACGGCCCCAGAAACTGATACCGCGGGACAGAAAAGCCTTTTGTGAATCGAGTCTATGCGTCTTGTAAAATTGCCATCCAGTGGAAGAGAAACGTGCTCGATAAATGTAACTAACCGTTCAATCTTACGGCGCGATAATTGTCAGATAGATATGGGCGATTCTCCTCTTTCTTTTCCTCTTTTCTCTCCTTGTCCTTCGTAAAACGTTATCTATAAGTAAACGTTGTCTATACAAATAAAAGCATGGCTCCTGTATCTATGACGATTCATTATACACCCGATAGCATATTATGTTGCTTCATTACCGCAACATTAATAAGAGAGACATTTACATCTGAAAACGGTGGCGATACGGACGCTTCGCCGGCACCCATAAATCACAATGAATTTCAAGCGCGTGTACCCTTTGATGTTTATCACGGCCAATGATACAAATGCATTCCGTGCAATCAAGTTTCCTCGGCCGATCGTGAGGCGTACGCGGCGCGGTAGTGCTCTCAAGAGCGTTAATGTTGTCCGGAGATCGTGTTCCCGTAACACCGATCCGCAATAAAACGAACTTAATGATACCGTGTCTATCGTTACTGATTTGTGCGATTTGGGCGGCATAATCACTTCTTCAATCACTTATCGTATACTAACCAGTGACGTTTAACGTGGATACCGTTAGAGGATCGATAAATCATCCTGTAAGATATATCATCTTACGTGTTTGTCGTACGATGACCACACACTCGTATTCCTTCCACAATACTTAGAAAAACTATCACCTTGGGAACGAGGGGTCATATTTCTCTCACGTCTTAAATTTTCAGACAAGATATTCGAAAGTCAGAGACAGAAGATGTGAAAAGTGGTTTTTTTTTTTTTTTTTTTTTTTTTTAGTAAAAACGTGGAGACAGAAATCTTTATAGACGTAAAGACAGTAAATAGGTGTCCTTCGTCGTTTCTAGAATCGGTGTTTTTACGGTGCTTGGCAAACCGACCAGCAATAACCCTGGTCTATGGATCGGTTCCGTAGGTGCGTGTCGATAAAGCTAAATTATTTATCGTAGGCCGTAGCAACGAACACCGGTAGAGGACATTGATGGCTCTATATTTACCAGCAGACTTTATAATCTACGACGAAATAATCCATAATCCTGTATCGATAAATTTCGCCACGCGTGTATCGATTGTAGCCGGCGATGTTGAAGAGCACTTGCCGGCTAGTGCTAAATGAGTCAACGACTTTCGATTCGCGAGAGCATAGAGAAACCTGTTCGACGAGAGTGCTAGCCGATCAATCGCCTTTTACCATTCCTACGATTCCTCCTACGATCGCCGCATTCCGTCGTATCGTCGACCCGATTTGCACACTCTCTAATCGCACGATTAAATCTTCCGTGTCTCCTCCGCGATAAACGCGAAAAAGGTAATGGCAAACCGTTTTCCGGCTTTGTCGATCGAAGAAGCGAAAAACGATCGTGTGCGAGCGCGCGCGCGCTAGCCGCACGATTCATCGACTATAAATCTTGTTGCAGTTATTGAATGGAAGACGCCGAGTTGATTCAGGAATACGCGAGCAAAACGACGCCCGGTTGAGAGGATTCTTTCCTCCGGGCCGTGAGCCGGGACCGGGGCCGAAACTTGACGTTAGATGGAACGAGAACGATGCAACACCGCCGCCTTCTTGAATATTAAATTCTTTCTCCCGTTGAATTTAGTATTTATAGAAGGACGTAAAGAATAAGGTTCGTTCAATAAAATCCCGTTTCTTGTCTTTGAATGAGCACGCGCCTACGTCACCAAAGCTCATAAAATAATCTGTACACCTTTTGTATGCATAAAGAGAGAGGTTCTCCCGCGGGAGGAGGAAATAAAAAAAAAAAAAAGAAAACAGAAAAAGGAGGAAGAGTAACAACGGCGGGGCCTTAAACCGGAC